CGTGGTGTTTTTCCTACGTCGGAAACAATGGTGTCGTTCGTGTCAACGTCGGCCTGCCCCGCGTCACGCTGGAGACGGAACGGGCCACGGGTGCCTGCAGCCCTTAAGGCAGGCGCGTCCCAGGGCAAGAGACACCCCGCCATAATGGGTGCACTCGGCCCGTGGGGGTGGGCACATAATTCAAAGATGCTTGTGCCCTTGTTACAGTGTTTCGACAAGTTGTATTCGCTGTCACATCCTCCATATTCCATTCACTTGCTTGTACTTTGTTGCATTGTTTCGATAATACTGTATTCAGTGTTGCAAAGGCGGTTGTCTCTCATCCAGCGATGTGGTCAATCATCAGGCAAACTTCTGTCAGCCACCTCCGAGTGCTGCGTTTCGTGGTCCCATATGGGGGCTCCGCCGAAGCCCCCAGTGGCACTGCCCGACGGCCCCAGTGGCACCGCCCGCGTGCGTCAGCCACTACCCAGCACAGCGTATCGTGGCCCCATAGGGGGCTCCACCGAAGGCCCTGGTGGCACCGCCCGCATGCGTCAGCCACCACCCAGTGCAGCGATTCGTGGCCCCACGGGGAGCTCCACCGAAGGTCCTAGTGGGACCGCCCACATGCGTCAGCCACCACCCAGCACAGCGTTCGTGGCCCCATAGGGGCTCCACGGAAGGCCCCAGTGGCACCGCCCGCATGCGTCAGACACCACCCAGTGCAGCGTATCGTGGCCCCATTGGGAGCTCCACCGACGGCCCCAGTGGCGCCGCCCGCATGCGTCAGCCACCACCCAGTACAGTAGGTGGCCCCACCGACGGCCCCAGTGGCACCGCCCGCATACGTCAGCCACCACCCAGTACAGCGTTTCGCGGTCCCGTAGGGAACTCCACCCGAAGGTCCCAGTGGCACCGCCCACATGCCTCAGCCACCACCCAGCACAGCGCCATAAGGGGTTCCACCGACGGCCCCAGTGGCACCGCCCGCATGCGTCAGCCACCCAGTATAGCGTTTCGTGGGCCCATAGGGGGCTCCACCGAAGGCCCCAGTGGCATTGCACACATGCGTCAACCACCACCGAGTACAGCGTTTCGTGACCCCATATGGGGGCTCCACCGGGTCCTGCAATGGGACAGCCCGCACAGAGTTTCGTGGCCCCATAGAGAGCTCAACCGACGGCTCCAGTGGCACAGCCCGCATGCGTCAGCCACCACCCAGTACAGTTGGGGGTTCCACCGGAGACCCCAGTGGCACCGCCCGCATGCGTCAGCCACCACCCAGCACAGCGTTTCGTGGCCCCATAGGGGGCTCCTCCGAATGCCCCGGTGGCACCGCCCGCATGCGTCAACCATCACCCAACACAGCGTTTCGTGGCACCATATGGGGGCTCCACTAAGGGTCCCAGTGGGGCCGCCCGCGTGCGTCAGCAACCACCCAGCACAGCGTTTCGTGGCCCCATAATGGGGGCTACACCGACGGCCCCAGTGGCACCGCCCGCATGGGTCAGCCACAACCTAGTACAGCGTTCTGTGGCGCCATATGGGGGCGTAACCGAAACTCCCAGTGGCACAGCCCGCATGCGTCAGCCACCACCCAGCACAGCGTTTCGTGGCCCCATATGGGGGCTCCACCGAAGGCCCCGGTGGCACCGCCCGCATGCGTCAGCCACCACCCAGTGCAGCGATTCGTGGCCCCACGGGGAGTTCCACCGAAGGTCCCAGTGGCACCGCCCGCATGCGGCAGCCACCACCCAGCACAGCGTTTCGTGGCCCGGCCCCACACGGAACTCCACCGACGGCCCTAGTGACATCGCCCGCATGCGTCAGCCACCACCTAGTGCAGCGTCTCGTGGCCCCATAGGGAGCTCCACCGACGGCTTCAGTGGGACCGCCCGCATGCGTCAGCCACCAACGGCCCCAATGGCACCGCCCGCATGCGCCAGCCACCCCGTATAGCGTTTCGTATGCCCATAGGGGGCTCCACCGAAGGCCCCAGTGGCATTGGCCACGTGCGTCAGCCACCACCGAGTACAGTGTTTCGTGTCCCCATAAGGGAGGTCCACCGACGGCCCCAATGGCACCGCCCGAGTGCGTCAGCCACCACACAGTGCAGCGCTTCGTGGCCTCTATAGGAAGCTCCACCGACGGCCCCAGTGGCAGCGCCCGCATGCGGCAGCCACCACCCAGTACAGCGTTTCGTGCCCCCATAGGGAGCTCCACTGAAGGTCCCAGTGGGGCCGCCCGCGTGCGTCAGCAACCACCCAGCACAGCGTTTCGTGGCCCCATAGGTGGCTCCACCGACGGCCCCAATGGCACCGCCCGCATGCGTCAGCCACCACCCAGTGCAGCGTTTCGTGGCCCCTAGAAAGGGGCTCCACCGAAGGTCCCAGTGGCACCGCCCGCATGCGTCAGCCACCACCCAGCCCAGCGCTTCGTGGCCCCATGGGTGGCGCCACCGACGGCCCCAGTGGCACCGCCCGCATGCGTTTCTCCCGAGCTCCAGCGAGGGGCACCGCCCGCATGCGCCCGCCACACCCAGTACAGCGTGTAGTGACCCATAGGGAACCCCACCGAAGGTCCCAGTGGCACCGCCCGCATGCGTCTCCCCCACCCATTCTGGCACGTTTCTCACGCGTTTGGTGGCCCCATAGGGAGCTCCACCGAAAGCGGAACCCACACCGCGTTATTCACAACTGCATATGGTTGGGTCCTTCGCCAGGATAATTTTTTGTTTTTCTCCCTGGTGGCCCTCCGCCTGGGGGGCACCGTTGGGGGGGGGCCAGCTCAGGGGGGCTATCGGCCCCTGTCGGCGATGAGTGGGCGAGCGGGGGGCGATGTATCCTATCCCCCTGAGCCTACGCCCCTCTGACGGTTCCCCCTGGTTCTTTGGGGTCATAACTCGGGTCTCTGGCCGCCGTCCGAGGCGATCCGGGCACCCCGGGAACGCCCTCGGCGATGCGCAGCTGCTGGAAGGCATCCCGAGGGCTGTAAAAACGTCCAGGAACCGACAGAATCCATCGCCGTTCTGGCTCAAGAGTATGTTGCAGCCAGCCTGGTCTGCGAGCGCTCCCAGCAGCCACATCGCAACCTGCTACCAATGGCCTCGGCCACGGAGCGCATGGAACTCGCGGAGGTCGGCGGCGAGGCGAGCAGATCAGAGCAGTTCTTGGTCCAGGACGCTCGCGCCCGGCGTTCGCCCTGGCGAGCGGCGGGCGGCGCAGGCGTGGCCGCCCTGCTCCTGGCTGGTGCAGGCGCGGGGGCTGCGCGCTTGGCTCTAGGCGGGGCGGCGTCGGACACGGACCGCCTCCAGAGCAAGGTGCAGACGGTGGCCATGCCCCCGCGCGACAAGTGCGCCAGCACGGACGATGACTGCTACAGCCTGGGGTGTTGCAACGTTGCGGGCCTGAATTGCTTCGAGACCAAGCCAGGAGAGGGCAAGTGCCTGAAGAATTGCACCCCCAGCGCCTCCCAGCTGTGCGTTCAGACGCAGCCGATCATGGACCCGATCCTCAAGGATGCCTGCCGACTGGTACGGCCCGTCATTGTACTGCTTCGCAGTGGTCATGCAGGACATCGGCAGCACAAAGAAGATGTACGACTTGGAGCTGCTGCAGGGAGCATATGGCAGGAAGACCAGCATCTTCGGGTGCGAGAACTGGGGAGTATTCAGCGACAAGGAGGGGGAGGTCGGGCCCAGCGCTCCCCTTGTGAAGCTGGAGGATGCCGACGGGGACTTCCATTTCGCGAAGAGAGAGGAGACCGGCACCTGGCTGAATACGGGCTTGCACTACCAGGCCTGGAAGGCAATTGGGGAAGCAGGCGTGTACAAGAGCGCCAGCTGGGTCGTGAGCCACCAGAGCATCTTCTTTCTCGAAGTGGTGGCGTTCCTGATCCTCTTCTACCTGTGCATGTGGGCCGCCAGGTTGCTACGATGGATCAAACTAACTAGGTGCAAGGCAGATGGGGTCAAGGTGGTGGAGGAGGACCCCGTGGGGGAGGAGGACGTCTTTTACGACATTCCCAAGCCGGGAATATTGTTTATTCTTGCTGCAAGGCGCGCTGCAGAGGCGCGAATTCGGTGGCCCCGTCATAGGCTGCCTCGGAGGGCCGTGCAGGTGCTCCAAGTATCACCCGTGCCGGGGTGGCGCGGATCCAGAACGAGAAAAACTCGCTCGCCCAAGCGGAGGGTTCGGAGGAGGAGGCGAAGGCAGGGGGCCAACGCCAACACCAACGACCAGCCACAGGCACCACGACCACCACATCTTCCCGAAGGTGATCGGCGCCTTGAGCGCCGCCGCCGGTCGCCTGGGGGCGACATCACCAACGGGGACGACGGCAACTACGTGGAGGAGTACGTCTACGACGGCGACGTCTACTTCGACTTCCCCGCCGACGCGGTTCTCTACGGCCACCTGGGAAAGGGCGAAAGCCCCTACGACGACCTGTCTGTCGACCTGCCCGTCGACCGCGACCTCCAGGGACAACAGCAACCAGTTCCTCTCGAAGGTGATCGGTGTCATGTGCACCGCCGCCGGCCGCCTGGGGGCGGCATCACCGACGGGGAGAGCAAGGGCAACCACGTGGGCTCCGACGGCTACCACGACAACCAGGGACCATCGACGACGATGACGTCGACTACGATGACTACGGCGGCTACGACGAGGCCGCTCAGGAGACACCCAGCGCAACTACGACGCCTGCAGCGGCGAGAGCACCAACTTCGTGGGGTGCTCCGGCAAATCGGCGACTTCACCTACGCTGCAGGAGAAGCTGGCCGCTCTGCCGGCGGAGGAGGGGAACAGCATGCGATCGACGCTGCACGGGCCGAGGTGCCTTCCAGCTCACCACAGCAGGAAGGGCAACCCACCTCACCACGCCCAGCGGCGCTGCGCGGCAATGCAGAGAATTCATCTTCTCGTATGGCTGAGGCTCAGGCCGAGGCAACAAACGACACCACCAGAGCGTCGACAGGGACAAGTACACAGCTTGACCAGCAGTTTTGGCGACTACCGGAGGTCCGAGGCGGAGCAGTCCCCACGGACCCCATGGATAAGTTCTGCGCGGCATTGCAGGAGCTCATGACCACCTTCGCAGGCACCAGGAACAGTTCCGGTGGCCCTCAGAACGGGGACGGCTGGACCAACCGCCCTGCTCGGAACCGCGACCGGACCCAGACCAGGCGGCAGGAGGCTAAATCCAACAAGTTCGACGCCTTCCTCGACCGCATGGGGAAACTCTTGGTGGACGCCAAAGCAGGCCAGTGGTCCCTCGAGAAGCTCTTCGGGGGGATCGCTGACGCGATGAAGGCAGCGGGCCACAGCTCCGATGCCAACAACCATGCTGGCCAGGGCCCCCCGGCTGGCAACCGTGGTGCTCCGCCCGCTCCGGGCCGGGGCCCAGGCAGAGGCGGCCCCGCAGCAGCCGACCCAGAACTGCCGAGGCTCGCGCGGAACGTGTGGAAGAAGGGTGCGGTCATGACCTTCCAGGCCTTCTCCGCGGCGATTGAGAAGGAGGGCCACGAGACGGCGCTCGCAGACCTCGAGGCTATCGTTGCCAAGCCTTGTCAGGTCCATCTGGCACGGGACTTGGCGAGCTCGCGCAAGTACACCGCCACAGTGGGCATTGTGTGCAAGGCTGACGAGAAGCCGGGCGAACACGGGGACGCAGCTAAGAAGTGGCTGAAGACCGAGGACAAGTCGGGGCGTGAAGGGGTAGAAGGCCTTTGGGTCATTCCTCTCATCACTGCGCTCGGTCTGCCCCAGAGCCTCGGCGGCCTCGCTGCCAAGAGGGCTACAGGAACAGTCGCGGAGCGCGAGGGGGCTGGAGCCACCACCACGGTCCGAATCACCATGGTCCACCGCTTCGTGCTGCCGGAGGTGTGGCGGGCAAGCATGGTGAGCTCCCTCCACTCCTTGTGGGACACTTCGGCGATCACGAGGACGTACGGCTACCGCCTGCTGGAGAGCCCAGACGGCAGCGACAAGTGCCGGACATGCTTCGCCACCGTGCAGAGCGGCAAAGTCGGCGCGCTGCTCAGCCAGAGCGGCCGTTCAGGAATATTCTGCGAGGAGCTGGTCTGCCACAAGTGCAGGAGCCTCGTGGAGTGGCAGACCCTCGAGGACGCCGAGGAGCCCCGCGACTACCTGGAGAGAGTTCTCCGGCAGCAGCGTTCCACGACAGGGACGGCGCTTGGTTTGGCCTACCGCCGTGGCGGCAAGGCACAGCTCGGGTGGCGCCAACCTTCAGGTACGGCACAGACTTTCCCTGCGCGCCCACTCCCGTGGGAAGTCCACTCGACGCCGTTGGACTGGTCATCCGATGACGTGAAGACCTTCCTGACCGAGAACGGATGGAAGGAAGTCTCCCTCGAGAAACCCCGCTGGGGGAGACGGGGGTGGGTGTTCCGCATGGTACCGCCAGAGGGTGCGCAGCTCCAGAACGTCCTCCAGCTCAAGAACGGGGAGCACGTCCGAGTGTGCCGAGAGGTACGGCGACAACCAGGCATGGAGGCTAAACCACTGTCTGCCCGCCCAGGGGCCGTCAGACAGGACCTCGTGAAGCTCGGCAAGGACGCGGACGACAGGCGTGCGCGTGCAGAACCCTGGAAAGGTGGCTCCGGCGAGGCGGCAGCACCGGCCGAGGAGGGAGTCAGCGGCGAAGGCAGCAAAATGGACACCGACGCGGGACAGGAGGAGGCTCCTAAAACCGAGTCCAAAGCCAGGGCCCCCACGGGCGGCCCAGGCAGCAAGAAGGCCAAGGGGGAGAGCGTGCCGCAGCGTGCGCTGGACCACAACACGTGGGACCTCGGAGGCACCGGGGACTGCTTCTACCGCGCGGTGGGCGCAGCCACGGCGATCAACGAGAAGGGCACTAGCGGCAAGGAGCGGACCCGCGAGGACGTCCAGCGGAACATCGTGGGGCTGGCGGCGAAGCTGCGGGCCGAATCCGTCGGCCTGATCAGGAAGCACCGGCTCTGGGAGGCCGCCTGGGTGCAGGACCCCTCGACCAACCAGACTCTGGAAGACGGCCCAGTACCTACCAGCTGGGAGACTTGGGTCACGGCCTGCGCGAGGCAGAACCGCTGGGTGGATGAGTACGCCGCTGCGGCGCTCGCCCTCCGCCTCGAACGCACCATCGTCGCCTTCTACTGGCACGGTGGCAAATGGGTGAAAGGCTGGACTTTCAACCCGCCTGCAGACACGAACGACCCCGTCCTGGAAAGGCGCAGGAGGAAGGCTCTCTCGCGCCCGCCGGTGCCGGTCTGCCTCAGGGGCCAGCACTACTTCACCCTCCACCTCAACCAGGGCGAGAAGGACTGGCCGAAGGAATGGGCCGAGCCGCCGGAGGAGGAGGTTCCTTCGAGCCAGCTCCGCGCCGGTGCAGCCGACGGGCACAGCGACCTGGACGACTGGTGCAGGGTCTCAGCGACGACGGGGGACGGCGACTCCAGCCGAGGCCCCAGCAGGGGGACAGCAGCGCGAGGGCAGCGCCGCGGGCCGGCGACGCCTGCGAGCTCACCACAGCTGGCGGGGCAGCCCGCGACAGGCGAGGACGCCGGCGCAGGCAAGGCTCGCTCGCCCCGCCCGGCGCCTTCGCTGGGGAGCTGGTGCAGGAGCGGCGCAGGCACCGCGACCAGCGGCAGCGCGCGGACGAGGCTCCAGGGGAAGCAGCCCCCGCCCCCGCCGCCGCCTTACCCAGGCACAGAGAGACGCCGCCGACAGGCGCGGAGTGCTCCCACGACCCAGCCACCAGCAGACAGCCTCAACCCGCGCGGTTCGACGGCGACCGATGTGGCGCGCGTGGGCGATGTGGACAGCGACGAGGAAGCCGTCGCGTGGCCCGCTTCCAAAAAGTACGGAGCACGCCAGGCACGACAGCAGTGCCTGGCACGGGGCAGCACGACCTCGTGGTCATGCCCGCTGTGTGCAGCACAAGGGGTACATTGGTCCTGCGATGCCCAACTCAGGGCCGGAGGTGCACCCAAGAACCCGATCGGTGGCGTCCAGAGGCTGCTGTACAAGCGGCGTCAGGCACACCTGAATAAGTGCCACCCTGGTGTGGACAAGGCACCGCTCTCGCCCAAGCCCGCGACCGAGGCGGTGGAGCCGAAGACGGCGGAAGAGTGGAGGGCGCTCCTGCAGCTGCCTGTGGGGCCCATCCCCGAGGCTTACGCCGCCACCAAGTGCAGGTACTGCGAGAAGACTTGGCCCGCGCACGTGCAGGGCCACCAGCTCACCAAGTCCGTGCGGGCCCATCATGTGAAGGAACGCGCGGGGCAGAGGCAGCAACGTGCCCAGACCGTGAGGGCCAGCAAGGCGGAACAGCGTGCACGCAGAGAGGCAGGCCTGGAGCCGCTCCCTCAGAACGTGTTCCAGCAGAGGACGCAGAAGCGGCTATACTGGAGGGGCCCGGCAGCCGTCGCGGCCTACCGGAAGACGCTCAAGGACCGCCGCCGGGCTGCTGCTGCCATAGGCGCGACGCCCAGGAAGATTCTCAAGCGCCCGGCGGCGCAGGTGGAAGAAAGTGCCGCCTCTTGACGGGCGGTGCCGGGGGGCGGTCCTCCCTTCCCTCCTCTGCTTCCCTCCCCTGTCCTCCTCCCCCTGGCCCCCTCTCCCTCTGCCCCTCCCCCTTCGTCCCCTCCCTCTGCCCCTCCCCCTTCTGTCCCTCCTCCCTCTCCTCCTCCTCCGCCCCCTCTCCCTCCCCCTCTCGGGAAGGAAAGAAGGGCCGTCACTCGGCGTCGTCCGTCTGCGCGGGGCGGGGCGAGCTGCTCGCCCGCCCAGCTGGCACTCTGGACTCGTAACGTCAATGGCACAGCCCTGTGGAGAGTCGCCGAAGAAGCAGCTTCCCAGGACATCGACGTGGTGTGCCTCCAGGAGGTCGGGCTCACCGCCAAGGAGTTCACTTCGTTCCACAACCGCTTCTGGTCCCGGGGCTACCAGTCCTACCACGCTGCGGGGTACGAGCGCTGTGACGACCGGCAGGGCGGCGGGCTCGTCGCGCTGATCCGCAGGAAGAGAGCATGTCGTTATCTCTGGCGCCTGACCGGGGAGGACGCCCAGATGCTCGTGGTGCAGGCCGCTGATCTGGTGATCTTCAATGTGTACCGGCAGCCGAGCAAACAGGGAGCACTCCACACCATCATGGACTCTTTCATTGACAGCCTCCAGACCGACAGGATCCAGAGGGCACTTGTAATCGGCGACTGGAACGCCCTGCCGGCGGAGGTGCCTGCGGCCTCGCCCTGGTGCACTTTCGAGAAAGCCACAGCGAACGGCAGCGACATCCCTACCAGGAAGGGGGGCACCAGATGCATCGACTTCGGGATCTCTTTCGGCGTAAATGGCCACAACCATCACATCGTCCCCTTTGAGGCCTCGGACCATTTCGTGGTTTCCATGCAGTTCGAGACGAGGGATGAGCTCGTGGACGAAACGCGGCTCCAGCAGCACCGCGACCTGGCAAGGCCGGCCTCGGTCCCCATGGAGACTTGGATGGACGTCTGCCGGGCCCTGTGGGAGGGGCGCGGCGGCGCCCCCGCAGCGGACGAGGAACACGACCTCCGCAGGCGCTGCCCGCACGAGTCGGGGTCCCCCCAGGCGCAGCAGTGGGTGGACAAGCTCTGGGGCGACTTTCAGGCCGCGGTAGAATACACGCTGCTCGAGGCCGCCGAGAGACTGCTGGAGGACGGCACGGCGCCTGACGACAGCACCGAGGGCGCCGCCCCCTGGGTTGCCGCAGACCCCTGGGGGCAGGAGATCCAGCGCGTCTGGCAGGGGCCCAAGAAGGCCACCACTGCAAGGGCCACCCCGGCCAAGGGAGAGCTCCCCGAGGGACAGACAGGCATGGCCACCCGGCGCGCGCGCTGCAGCCAGGCGATGGTGGCCAGCAGCTACAAGGCGCGGCGGTGCAGCACCACGCTCGGCAGGTTGCGCCGGCTGCTGTGGCTGGAACAGCATGGGCACGGCAACGGGAGCGAGAGCCACGCTCTCCGGGTCAAGCTCGACAGGGCCACCGACAGCCGCGAGTACACTGGCGGCTACGAGAGCTCCCTGCTCACCAGGACGGCGCTCCTAGAGACGCGGGTCCAGGAGTACGAAGGCGCGCTCGAGGCCATCGAGAAGAGCGACCGGAACGACAGAATCCGGGTTTGGAGGGCACGGCTCACGGGTAGCAGCAAGGCGGCCCACGCCTCTCTGCAGCCGAGACATCCGAAGGGGCTGGCTGTTCTCCAGAACAACGTGCAGTCGCGCACCACCAAGGAGGCTCTCGACTTCCTGGTCCGGCGATGGAGAAAAGTGTGGGACCGCCCGACTCCACCAGCCGACCGGTGGCGCCCCAGGCTACGACGGTGGTTACCGCACCGCACCCCTCGCAGGTGGTACCCGCTGGACGAGCAGGAACTCAATGCAGCCATGCGTGCGCAGGCCGGCACCAGCGTTGGCCCAGACGGCTGGCGAGGGAAGGAGGTGGCTTCCGCTCTGTTCACTGCAGCGACGTTCGCTCACCTCACGGCGGAGTTCGAGGCCATGGCCTGCCTGCCAACGCAGTGGGCGGACATGAGGCAAACGCACCTGCCCAAGGAATTCCCGAGCGAGGAGACTCCGGAGGCGCTGCCCGACGACAAGTTCCGCCCGATCAGCGTTTCGAGCGCCTGGCACAGAACGTGGGCTACCGCGCGGTTCAAATCCGAATGTTGTTCCGCTTGGCTCAGCGACTGGTGGGACAACGACATGGTGGGCGCACGCCGCCACAGGGAGGCAGCCGAGGCGGTGGTGATGGCAGCAACCAACACCAACTGCAACGAGTACTGCACGAGCTGGGACTACAGCCTGGCCTTCGACATGTGCCACCCGGACGTGGCGGCAGAGGCATTCGACGTGGTCGGCATGCCGGGCAACTTGGTACACCTCCTGCGCACGCACTGGACCCGACAACGGCGTTTCATGTGCTACGGTGGTTGCGTGCACGAGCAGCCGCAGACCGTGTCCACCAGCCTGCCGCAGGGAGACCCGTTCAGCCCCGTGGCAATGGGGTGCGTCCTCATGGCGCCGCTGAAAGAAGTGAAGCACGAGTGCAGGGACGTATCCACGCAGCTCTACGTGGACGACAGGACGTGGCAGTCCCGCAGCATCCCCTCAATGCTCAGAGCGGGTGCCATCTGGAACAGCTGGAGCGCGGACCTCGGACTGGCAGAGAACGACGCCAAGCAGCAGTGGTTCCACACCGCCGGCAGGGGGCGCAAGGCGCTGGCCGCGGCGGGGGTGCCAACGGAGACCATCAGCGACACGGCCTGCATCCTCGGCATGAAAGTCACCGGAGGCGCAGCCCGGTGCACGTCCAAGAAGGAGCGAGCACGCTGGGATCGCGCCAAGGATCGAACAGACACGTGCCGTCCAGCGGCTCCCGCATTCCCTGGCCGGGAAGCTCGCCGTGGCCACGGCCGGGCCGATCAGCGTGGCCGAGTATGGCTGGCTGGAGAACCCGCCGGCCAAGAGGGACACGCAGGCATTCCAGTCCCTGGTCTGGTCCGCACTCGAGGCGCCGCACCAGGCGAACCCGGCGCTCCGCTGCCTCCTCCTCGGCCACAGGGTCGATGTCAGGTACAGAATACAGCAAGCGGCCATCACCTCGTTGGCGCGCGTGCAGCGCAAGGGCAGAGACCCGCACGCCGACTTCACGATGCGCCTCACCTGGGACTGCACGAAGCGCGGCCTGGCAAAGAACCTCCACCGGCACCTAGCGTGGACCGGATGGGAGCACGACCCTGCCCTGCCCTGGACCTGGCGCCACGCCGGCACAGAGGACAGGTTCAGCTTGGACAGGCGGCAGCTGGACTGGAAGAGCCCAGGCCGCCTCGCGCACAGCCTCCGGGAGGCGTGGCGCTACACTCGGTACGCAGAATGGCAGCGGGCGGGTCGACGCGACAGCACTCTCTGCCAGGGCATAGGCTACGACCCGAAGCGGTACAAGGCCGTCTTCGAGCACATGAAGACCCGGCCGGGCCCCCACCTCAGAGTGATGGGAGGGGCCATCGTGTCGCCGGCGCACCTCCATGCCAGCGCCCCAGCGCAGGACCCATCCTGCCCATGGTGCCGACAGGAGGCAGGAACGCTGCACCATATTGCGTGGGAGTGCCAGCACCCACGCCTGCGTGAGGCGAGGCCCACAGCGCGCCCGCGCGATCCATTGCAGAACCGACTGTTTTGGCCTACGGGCCTCTCGTCAAGGCAGGCAGCAGACGCCGCCATTCTCAGCTGGGGCGTCCAAATCGACCGGGCCATCCGGGAGATCAGGTACAGGGAGGGGGACCCGTTCATCATCCACCTCCCCTCCCTCCTCCTCTGGGACACCGCGGCCTCCTCCTAGGTGGCCGTGTTCCTGAACGTGGTCACCTCGACGGCCACGTTCTTCAACTATTTCACCAGCTGGGTCGTGAAGGTCGATCCTGACGCGGTGTTCGTGCCGAGCCGCTTGGTGTCCTACCTCTCCAGCAAGCTGGTCCCGGCCAACGGCCTCTACCTCGAGAACTGCAAAGGCGTAAAGTATGGGTGGTTCGGCAGCTTGGAGATCTTCTCGGCGGTGGCCTTCGAAACACTCCTGGGGTCGATGGCCTCGTGCAAGGACGCCGTCGATTGGAAAACGGGCGTTGGCGGAGGCAAGTACGGCCCCATGGGCGAGGACCTGTTTGCGCAGGTGTGCCTGGGTGCGAAGGGCGTCTCCCGTGGAGAGGCATTCGGCACCAAGCTGGACGGAACTTGCGAGGCGGACCGGCCAGAGGCCGAGAAGAAGAACAAGAAGTGGAAGCCCACGTGCGACGGCGAGAACTTCCCGGCGTACCACCCGCTGATGAAGCCCGAGGACTATATGGCGTGCTTGGATGCCACCACCAAGGCATTCGGCTACTGAGCGCCCTGCAGGGGCCTGGGAAGCTGCGGTGCGCCAGGCAGAGCGTCCTGCCCGCCTGCCTCGTGCGCCCCACGCCCTATTGTTTTTTGGTCGTGCAAGCATTGTTCGCGCTGCCCTGGCCCGTCCTCCACGCAAAGTTGGTGATGGGCAGAGATGTGTCAGAGGTGGCACGCAGCCTGGTGCTGCTTAATCATGGGAGGCCCCCATCTCTTCGTCCAGCTCGTCCTGACGGCCCACTAGCCAGTGAAAGCACCATCACCGTAGTTATGTACAGTTTCCCGCCGTGGATCAGCACCTGCCTTTCCGCGGTGGCCTCTGCGGTGCTCTGAGCTTCCTGGATTCTCCCGATCAGCATCGATGCGGCGAGGGTGAAAACCTTTTACAGCGGAGGCTTTGGTATAGATTCATTGGCACGGATTTCCCACGTAGGGGTTCCTTTAGCGTGGTTTTATGTGTCAGGACTCCTTAGTCAGATTCCTTATGAGGGAGTCCTTTCGTAATGATTCCCTAGAATGAACATTGCTGTAGGTGTCCAGGGATTGCTTTTAGTAGAGATTCCGGTGGTGAGGTTTTTTTCAGTGAGGGTTCCTGAGTGAGGACTCGTTGGTAAGGACCTCTTAGTAAGGATTCCTTCAGTAAGGTCCCCGTAGAAACGATCCATTCAGCAATGCGTCATTTAGTAAATATTCATTGTGCGACGATTCATTCAGCACAGATCTCCCCAGTAAGGATTCCTCAAGAAGGGTCCCTCTAGTAAGAACTCCATACATTCAAATTCATTCCAGATTCTACGGGCCCTTTCTAGTAAGGATGACGTCAGCAGGGATTCCTTTTTAGAAGGACTCTTTCCAGTACGGGTTGATGAGTGCGGATTCACGGGTAAGGACTCCTTAACAAAGCTTCCTTCAGTAATCTTTCCCTGTGCAAGGATTGTGACAAATTCCTCTTCCTGCTTATCCTTCTATCCCTCTGTCCCCAGGGAGAGAGAGAAAGAGAGAGAGAGAGAGAGAGAGAGAGAGAAGAGAGAGAGAGAGAAACAAATAAAGAGAAACAGAGAGAGAGAGAGAGAGAGAGAGAGAGAGAGAGATAGAGAGAGAGAAATAGAGAGATATCCAGAAATAACGAGAGAAAGAGAGAGAGAGAGAGAGAGAGAGGCGTGGACATTGCCTCTTCCCCTACTTATCCTCCTCCTCTCTCTCCTCATCCTCGCGCTCGACCTCCTCATGCTCCTCCTCATGCTTCCCCCCCGCCGCTCGCCCCCCAACGCCCAACGGGGGCGGGGGGGGGGGAAATATCCAAAGACAGAATGAGCAGCACAACACAACTCAAGAGTTCAAGCACCGACGGCTTACAAACCAACAACATCACATGGAACACGCATCACCAACCAAACATAACAACTATCTCAATCACTCGTCCACCCCAACTGCCCCCCAGAGCTTGTTGTTCCCAACCATGCTGTGGTGTTGGGTCCTCGTTTTGCAGAGACGGTCCCCGCGTTCCTTCCTCCTTCCTTCCTCCTCCTCCTCCCCCTCCTCCCACCCCTTGCCTCTGCCCTCCGCATGTCCACCATTTCGGCACACCCCTCACACGTTTCGTGGCCCCATATTTGTGTTCCACCGAAGCCCCCAGTGGGACCGCCCGCATGCGTCAGCCACTACCCAGCGCAGCGTTTCGTGGCCCCATAGGGAACTCGACTGGCACCGCCCGCATGCGTCAGCCACCACCCAGTACAGCGTTTGGCCCCATAGGGGGCTCCACCGAAGCCCACAGTGGCACTGCCCGCATGCGTCAGCCACCTCCGAGTACAGCGTTTCGTGGTCCCATAGGGAGCTCCACCGAAGCCCCCAGTGGCACCGCCCGTTTCGTGGCCCCATAAGGGAGCTCCACCGACGGCCCCGGTGGCACCGCCCGCATGCGTCAGCCACCACACAGCACAGCGCTTCGTGGCCCCATAGGGGGGGGCTCCACCGACGGCCCCGGTGGCACCGCCCGCATGCGTCAGCCACCACCCAGTGCAGCGATTCGTGGCCCCACGGGGAGCTCCACCGAAGGTCCTAGTGGGACCGCCCACATGCGTCAGCCACCACCCAGCACAGCGTTCGTGGCCCCATAGGGGCTCCACGGAAGCCCCCGGTGGCACCGCCCGCATGCGTCAGCCACCACCCAGTGCAGTAGGTGGCTCCACCGACGGCCCGAGTGGCACCGCCCGCATACGTCAGCCACCCAGCATAGCGTTTCGTGGCCCCACGGGGAGCTCCACCGAAGGTCCTAGTGGCACCGCCCACGTGCGTCAGCCACCACCGAGTACAACGTTTCGTGGCCCCATAGGTGGCTCCTCCGACGGCCCCAATGGCACCGCCCGCATGCGTCAGCCACCACCCAGTGCAGCGCTTCGTGGCCTCCATAGGAAACTCCACCGACGGCCCCAGTGGCACCGCCCGCATGCGGCAGCCACCACCCAGTGCAGCGATTCGTGCCCCCATAGGGAGCTCCACTGAAGGCCCCAAATGCACCGCCCGCATGCGTCAGCCACCACCCAGCACAGCGTTTCGTGGCCCCATAGGTGGCTCCACCGACGGCCCCAATGGCACCGCCCGCATGCGTCAGCCACCACCCAGTGCAGCGTTTCGTGGCCCCTAGAAAGGGGCTCCACCGAAGGTCCCAGTGGCACCGCCCGCATGCGTCAGCCACCGCCCAGCCCAGCGCTTCGTGGCCCCATGGGTGGCGCCACCGACGGCCCCAGTGGCACCGCCCGCATGCGTCTCCCCCGAGCTCCAGCGAGGGGCACCGCCCGCATGCGCCCGCCACACCCAGTACAGCGTGTCGTGACCCATAGGGAACCCCACCGAAGGCCCCAGTGGCACCGCCCGCATGCGTCTCCCCCACCCATTCTGGCACGTTTCTCACGCGTTTGGTGGCCCCATAGGGAGCTCCACCGAAAGCGGAACCCACACCGCGTTATTCACAACTGCATATGGTTGGGTCCTTCGCCAGGATAATTTTTTGTTTTTCTCCCTGGTGGCCCTCCGCCTGGGGGGCACCGTTGGGGGGGGGCCAGCTCAGGGGGGCTATCGGCCCCTGTCGGCGATGAGTGGGCGAGTGGGGGGCGATGTATCCTATCCCCCTGAGCCTACGCCCCTCTAACGGTTTCCCCCTGGTTCTTTGGGGTCATAACTCGGGTCTCTGGCCGCCGTCCGAGGCGATCCGGGCACCCCGGGAACGCCCTCGGCGATGCGCAGCTGCTGGAAGGCATCCCGAGGGCTGTAAAAACGTCCAGGAACCGACAGAAAGCTCGAAAACCTCGGAGACAGGGACTTGTCCATCGCCGTTCTGGCTCAAGAGTTTGTTGCAGCCAGCCTGGTCTGCGAGCGCTCCCAGCAGCCACATCGCAACCTGCTACCAATGGCCTCGGCCACGGAGCGCATGGAACTCGCGGAGGTCGGCGGCGAGGCGAGCGGATCAGAGCAGTTCTTGGTCCAGGACGCTCGCGCCCGGCGTTCGCCCTGGCGAGCGGCGGGTGGCGCAGGCGTGGCCGCCCTGCTCCTGGCTGGTGCAGGCGCGGGGGCTGCGCGCTTGGCTCTAGGCGGGGCGGCGTCGGACACGGACCGCCTCCAGAGCAAGGTGCAGACGGTGGCCATGCCCCCGCGCGACAAGTGCGCCAGCACGGACGATGACTGCTACAGCCTGGGGTGCTGTAACGTTGCGGGCCTGAATTGCTTCGAGACCAAGCCAGGAAAGGGCAAGTGCCTGAAGAATTGCACCCCCAGCGCCTCCCAGCTGTGCGTTCAGACGCAGCCGATCATGGACCCGATCCTCAAGGATGCCGACTGGTACGGCCCGTCATTGTACTGCTTCGCAGTGGTCATGCAGGACATCGGCAGCACGAAGAAGATGTACGACTTGGAGCTGCTGCAGGGAGCATACGGCAGGAAGACCAGCATCTTCGGGTGCGAGAACTGGGGAGTATTCAGCGACAAGGAGGGGGAGGTCGGGCCTGGCGCTCCCCTCGTGAAGCTGGAGGATGCCGACGGGGACTTTCATTTCGCGAAGAGAGAGGAGACCGGCACCTGGCTGAATACGGGCTTGCACTACCAGGCCTGGAAGGCAATCGGGGAGGCGGGCGTGTACAAGAGCGCTAGCTGGGTCGTGAAGGTCGATCCAGA